AACAAGTTTTTTATGTCAGTGATCCTTGTGATAAGAAGTGGTCTGTTGTTCTACATGGCAAGAGGCAGATGATTGGAGATGCGGTTGAAGATGAAAGTTTTGATATGGAAGAGATTCCTCCTTTTTCTTCAATGTTATTACCGATTAACGTTGAAAGCGAGATAGATGAAGTACATGCTGTACGGAATGACCATCAAGAAGGCTTATGGGAGGACTGATTTTCTTCTATTCTTTTGGTATTGTTAAAACTCTTCATTATTGCATTGTCGAAAAGTTAAATACCTAATACCTTATTCAGTTTTCATAAGTTTAGTATTAATATAATCATTATTAATTTGATTATAGTTATTCTTAGTTTTATTTCAGAATTTTTGCATTGCAGATCTAGCATTGGAACTTTTGGTCACAACATAACGGATAGTGTAGGAGTTCTGGATTGATCTTCTGACTTTATAGGTAGAACAAGTGTTTGTTCTTACAGACTTCTAATATTTTTCCTAATAGTTGATATTACCAGTAAATAAGAATAATTTATATTCATGCAGAGTTCTAATGTTTTTTCCTAACACTTGCTGTCAATTTTCTTTGTTTTTGCTAGAAATTATATATCTGCAAAGGCAATGGATTCTCAGGAGTACGATGATGCTACTGTTACCCAAAGTAGTAAAAAGAGAGGTCTCACCATAATGAAGAAGTTGTTACTTAGACGTGCCTCGAATTCTCCAAAGATATTTGTCAAGTTTATTAAGTCTCATCCCACTGGTCCATATAGACCCAAGCTAATCAGTTTTGTTGGATCATTGGGACGAAGCAGAGTAGATATCACAATTTCTAATTGGAAGCGAGTTTCAAATATTACGAAGGATCTTATTTTAGAAGATATTTTTGTATTCTCTTTTCCTAGTATATACTTGTTCATGACCATATTCAAGTATTTGATTGTTCAATATAATATATTTTTTATAGATGATATTGTTACTTTTTGTGGTAGAGTGTCTTTGACATCCCCAACACAAAAGGTGTTAGAAAACGGATGTTGCAAATAGCCAATAAGTCATGGAAATATTTCAAGTCAATGCTAACTACTGAGTTTGTGTATGGGAATAAACAAAATGAAAACCCCCTCAAGACATATAATTGGATACTTGAAGAGCAATGGGCTAAGTTTGTAGAAAGTCGTCATGATCCAGAATTTCAGGTATAATTAATCAAATGACATGTTGCTTGTATATTAAAGACAGGTTTTGTAAAAGATTTGTTCATATGAAAAACTGATTTGTTCATGGTATTTCTGCTGTTGATTAATGGTGTGAGAAGAGGATTGAGTTCTTGTTCCCTTCAATTCCATGAGCTTGTAAAGCCAGGTATGGGGCTTATGCGTGATAACGTATTTGAACTTGATTAACCAATGTTTAAAATGCCTTTGATATTTCTTATGTGATAATTATCTAGTATTTCAGTTTTTGGGATAATCTGATTTTGGAATTTTCATTGATTTCTTAACTGTTTATTATTTCTGTAGCATTTGAGTGAGAAAGGTAAAGAGCTGCAATCTTTACATGTGTACACGCATCGATTGTCCCGAGGAGGTTACTACAAGTTAGAGCAAGACCTCATAAAGGAAAAACAACAAGAACAAGAACTTGCTTCTATGTCTGATCCATCTTTTGTGTGCACGCCCATAACTTTTATTCCGAGACATATATTATGGAAAGGAGGTCGAGTAGATAAAGACGGAAATTTTACCACAGAAGAGAGTAGAGAAGTTGCAGAAAAAATTGTGAGAACTAAAATAAAGTTTCTTCTTATTATTACTATATTTATAGTGCACCACTGAATGTGTTATTATTAATCAATTTAATTGACTAATATTTCCGTAAATGGTGATAGGATTCTTTGCAACAGCAAGCCTCCATAGGAGAATTCACTGAATCAGGGAGGGATGATATTTTGAGTGCAGCATTAGAGAAAAGTGAACATTCTGGTCGTGTTAGGGGTGTAGGAGGAGGTTCTACAATAACTGAATACTTTGGCCGAAAGTCACGATGCGATGAGAAATACATGTCCTCAGAGGATGTTCAACATATGATTAACAAAGCAGTAGCTGATACAGAGTCCAGATGTGCTAGAACATTTGAATAAAAAATGGATAGTCTAATGCAACAGAAAATGGAAGCAATGATGCAAACTATGATGTCAAGTAACGCAAGTCCTAAATCTATCAATTCGGATCAGACTGTAAGCATAAATGCAGGTCCTCCAAAAAGCAAAAAAGCTAGTTGTCTGGACCCGTTTGAAGTAATTCCTTTGGTATGCAACTACTTTTCATTATGATAATTTCTAAGTATATATGTTATTCATGGGTTAATTAGTATGTACTGGAAAATGCAGACGGGGGAAAAATGTATATGCTATTCGGAGGACCCTACTAAACGCGTTGTTGCATATGGAAAAGTTTTCAAGTCAAGTGTCATGCTACACAATAAACCACTATCTCATGATGATGTGCGTGTAGTTGTTGAAGAAGTGGTTGTTCCTGGTGCAAGTGTACCTTACCCGAACGATGAGGTACAAAAAGTGGATGATGCTCTTTCTCAATTTATCGCTTGGCCGAAGCGGTTAGTAGAGTTGGGAACCGAGAATGAGGTACATGATGTATATCTATCTTTTATAATTATATTAAATAGGTTCACATGTACTAAATTGTGAAATTAACAAGGTACATCATCGACGAGCATCAAAAGGAAAATTGTTGAATATGTTGCCCTCTGATCCTAATTGCCCTTCAACCATAGATGTAAGTGCCATATCCAGGGAGTTTCAGTTGGTGAGGACATTGGCAAGTGGATTACATGCAGATGAGTTTATTGATATAAATATGGATGTTGATATTGTTGGTATGGCAAAGTCACGATGCGATGAGAAATACATGTCCTCAGAGGATGTTCAACATATGATTAACAAAGCAGTAGCTGATACAGAGTCCAGATGTGCTAGAACATTTGAATAAAAAATGGATAGTCTAATGCAACAGAAAATGGAAGCAATGATGCAAACTATGATGTCAAGTAACGCAAGTCCTAAGTCTATGATCAATTCGGAGACTCTTGATATATGTGCAATGACTTTATTTTGCGTGTAAGTTTTTTTTTTTACTTCAAGCCTTCGATCACTTTGACAACGTAAAAGAACCCTATTTATTTAAAATTATGCTCCTAGATTTGAGCAGATTTGGCATAACAGTGTCCATTTTTTTATCCTAATTTAAGCATTTGTGAATCTTAATCGAGAGAGTTGTGTTCTTTGAGATGTTGGTGATTCTGTTTGTTGAAGTACAATGTTTCTTTGTTTTAAACTAGGTGTCTTCATCATCATTTTGACTTGAAAGCAAATCACAAGTATGGTCTCTTATGTCCAAACATGGTTCAACATAAGACCAATTACCAAGACAAGAGTGAATACCTTGCTGACATTATTCTGAAAGGGGGTAAACAATATTATCTTGCACCGTATCATGAAGGGTAAGTCTATTTATATATGCAAATGAAATGCTATTAAAATTACTTTACAAGTCTTAAACTAGCTAGCTACCATTATTTTTTATGATTTGTTGTAATGACACAGTTGCCATTGGACGTTGTGGGTTCTTTGTCCAAGCACGCATGAGGCATTTTGGTTTGACTCAGTTGGTGGTCAACCGTCTAAAGATGTAAAGCAAATAGTGACAATGTGTGTTGCTCGATATAGTTTGTTTCTGTAATTTGTTAATTACATTTTTAGTGTTGGTTATTTTTCACATCAACTAGGGTGATTAATTTGGTGTCGTTTTTAATATCTCCAAATTAATATTGTTTGTTGACGAGGGTATTTGACCTATATTTATAGGGCTTTCAAAGAAGCTGTGGTCAAAGGTAGACATTTTGCAAATTGATACAAAACAACAAAATGGACTATTTGTCCGGTAAGTAATTTATATCCAAATGTAGTTCAATTATATTATACCATGCTTATATATTTTGGATTTATCTCCTTCCAACGTAGTGCCCAATGCAAGCGGGAAATGTCGAATGCGGTTACTATGTCATGAGATTCATGTATGACATCATATCTTCTAAGACAAATAAAAACTCCATAAGCAAGGTAACTTCATCAAAAGATATATATCTTCAAATCAATATAATTTGTGATTAATATTTGAATTATGCTTTTGCAGATGTTTAGTCGCGATGATAAATACACACAAGCAGATCTGGATTTTGTAAGGGGGGTGTGGTGTAAAGCGCTGCTTAGATATATATAGTTTATGATGACATTTATATAATTTTGTGGCAATAAGTTTTACATATTAGATATTAAGTATCACTTAGATATTGTTATTGCACGTACAATTGTATTTTGTACTTTTGTTACTGCATGCAGTACATTTTGTTTGGTGATCAATTTGATTTGGTGATTCGTTTTGTTTGGTTATTAATATATATATTATTGTGAATTCGTTTTGTTTGGTGAATAATATATTCGTTGGATTACTATGAAAGTATATATTATATAGAATAATAAGATAACAGGTTAAAAAAAAATCATGGCGGTTATGTAAGAAAGAATGGCATTTGTTAAAAAAGAAATTGACGTCGGTTACAAGACAAAACTGACGTGAAATGATATAATTTATTTTTTTTTAAATATTCAACGTCAGTTTTAAGGAAAAACCCGACGTTAAATCCTTTTTTACAAAATTATAACTCGTCGGTTTTGCCACGCAACCGACGTAATAGGTCACATTTAAAAAAAAAAAGATTTCACGTCGGTTTTTGAACCGACGTCATAGATTATTACCTATTACGTCTCTTACTTAGACGACCCAACATAAACCGACGTTAAATGTCTAAAATAACCGACGTCTTAGGTGCTTTGTGTAGTAGTGATATTTCGAAAAACACTAACGAAAACATTCAAAATTAAAGCAAAACAATCATAAAATAATGTGAATACAATTTTGACGTATCTAAACAATAACCTAACCTGCTAAACAATGACATGATTAATAAGTGGCGCATCGGGCTAGTGCGAAACGAATCATACATAAAGATCATGCCACGTGAGACCCATACCACAAGCAATACCCAATGATAACTACACGAGTAATTTGCGATGCACATTATGTAATAAACACATAAACATAAATATATATATCGTTAATGTAAATAACTATGATAAATGAAATTAATATAAGTAGGTATGAATGCATACTTTTCGTAATAAGGAGAAAGAATAATATCTATGCCAGAATTGCGAGATTCAATGATGGCTCGGCATATGTACTCTCTCACATCTTCTGGGTTATGGTCACATGAAGTTGCACAAATTGCATCAGGACACATTCATCCAAGATTCCCATCTTCTGGGTTCTGGGTATTCAAACCCTCGGTATACGCATGCATTGCTCTATAAAAAATCAATTTAATATATAATGAAAATTGAACACCATAGTAATATAATAAGTAATACAGTTATTATATCTTACTTGATGAATACTTGAATAATGGATATATTAAGCATTGCACCGGACAGAAACTGAGAGATGTCCTCGTTGTTAAGATACACATCACCATCACTTGATTTATAATGGAACACGCGAGCATCTAAAGTAATTATAAAGGGATCATCGCTAGTCCGAGATGCTATAATCGAGTGCAACCACTTGCAATCTTTACTGAGTGACAACAACACACCATCAGACACTAGATATCATTTGACCGGTTTTTTACGGATATCCAATTTCTTCTTGCCCTTTGATGGTTTATTACTAGTGACCTACATATCACTTCTAACTAATAAATAAATATCACATAAATACATTGGATATGTGAAGAAACTCATAAGTAAAGACACTTATACACACACACACATACTTAAATATATATACTTTCATATAATTACCTCACTTACAAATTTCACCCAATCAACCGGTCATTAAATAAAACTACCTTGGGCATCGCCTATGGTAAAAAGATTCACAATGGGAACAGGAAGTGTGGCACCCACATACTCGTTCAAACACAAGTGATCCATCCTGAAACTAACTTCGCCTAAAAATCTCTAAAACGACATGCCACCGTGGATAAAACAGTGTTCTTTTAAGAGAGTCATTTATATTCTTAACAACGTTTACGAAACTCAGCCACCTCATTCATAAATTCCAATGTGTTCCGTTTATCGTACATCCCGCTTCGACTCATCTTCACAAATAAAACATAAAATTTTTGTAACATCGTATTAGTCAATTTGCACAAAGAGAGTCGTTTTTTATTATCATAGTGTCGATCAGTTTTTGTAATTACATGTGCTGTCAGCTTTTGTATAATCACAGGCAACCCACGTGTTTCAGATAATTGGCACGAAGTATTCAAAGTTCAAAGTCATCAAACCTTTCACAGTTTCACAGTTGAAAAGATTATTGTTCCATCCGTAATAAATTTATAATTCTAATTAATCCTCTCTCGTAAAATTTAATCATACAGTTTTTACTTTATTAATCCTGATATCGGTTAAACTTGGCCAAGTTTTAAGGGACAGAGGAATATAATTAAATATCAAATTAAATCTATCGAGACTTAAATAGATTAAACTAGATTTTTACAATAGTAAAGTAGAGGTTAAATATTTGCAGACCACTTCATATCAGATAGATAAACATGATTTAAATAGACTAAATTAAATCAAAACTTTTCAATTCAGTTTCAATAAAATAGACCAAATTTGCAATAAAACATGTTAGTAGTATATGTCTATGTTTTGATCCTATCTAAAATTGAGCAATTCTAAACATTTTAACTAATCAATCACTATACCAAAAATATTTTTTTGGTATAGAAAGAATTATTTATTAATCATGCTGTTTTTTGTGGATTAACAGCTGCGACTGGAAATGGTTTCATTGCAAGAGACATAACCTTTGAAAACTGGGCAGGAGCGGACAAGCAACAAGTCGACTCGTACTAGCTATGATTTCCAATTAATTACTTGAAAAATATATACTCATCATGCTCATATCTCTGTTTAACATAGAATGTTTTCACATCTGTTAATGAATACGAACTATTTTGATAATCACAGGACACACCATTACAATTTAGTTAGACAAATTGAATCCAGATTCAATTTTTTAACTTTTCCAAAGCAGTAAGGAAATCCAAATCCTAATTTTGTTGTATATCCACTACAGAATTAAATCTTCAATAGTATGGATTTGTTTGTAGGTAATATTTTTCCTGAATATATGAAATTGCAGAGCTACACAATTGGTAAACCCGAGGCAAGCCCCTAATATAAGTAACAGTTTTTCAGCAGCTTAGTTATTTGGATTTTCTTATAGGAATCATCTACCAGGAGTCAACATAGAAAGTTTTCAGTTCTCTTGATTAATAAGAACTATTATGATTATCACAGGACAAACTGCTGCAATTGGTTAGAAAAAGCTAACCCTGACATTGGTAGCCAAAACTCATGTATCCATAAACAGAGTACAGATCAACTGAAGAAAAAGCTATTCTAGACTCAACTTTCTTTCTTTTTCATTCAGTATTCTAACACATTATTTGGCTTCTCACAGTAAAATTAGTATTGGTGGATGTGTCTCGCGCAACTCACTTGGATCAAATACTAGCAACATATTATCTTTGATTTTCTGTTTCTCAATTTTCCTTTAAAGTATTATGCTACAGTTTGACTGATCAGCAGTATGTTAGTTTAACAGAATAACACTTCAATAAAAGTTCTCCGTAATACTAACAAAATGTTGTCTCATTGAACTTCACTTCATTTTCTAAATTTCCAAATTACTGTTCAGAACAATTCATTCAAGACTTTGACTGCGAGGAATGAAATCCCTGGAAGAACAGCCTAGAGAATATACTATCACTTGACACTTGTACATACCCCTTTATTTCAATGCTTAAATCTTTATCTGTATGCGTACTTTTGAAGTTGGAATATGGTAAGGAGAGAAAGTAGGGGGGAGGATGATTAAAGATGATTAAATTTGGAAGTTACCGTCTATTAAATTGAAGGTACATAGAGCCAGGAGGTATTACCTGACTGTTCTTGAGGATAGGGGACGTAAATTTGCTCCTCTTCCCAAAACTCTTTGGTGAGATTATGTAGTGGTTGAACTTGAAATATAGATGAGAGAGGTTGAGAAGGAAAGCAATTTGATTGTCAAGCGAGTTCTTGGTATATTGGTTAGGGATGATTGATCTTTAATGCATTCATTCATTCGCTTAAAAAAAGAATAAAACAATCTCTGACATGCGGCAATGCTCTTCTTTTAAAAGAATGGTCTGCTCATAACATATTGCTTACTATCCTTACCTCTTCCTATATATATATATATATATATATATATATAGAGAGAGAGAGAGAGAGTCCCATTCTGGTGCGTCCGTCCGCACGAGAACCGCCGTCTGGCCGACGGCTTTTGGCCGCCTTCTCGGTGAAATTTTTTGATGAAATTTTTATGGCATGTTCTTCATCAAGTCTAGTTTATCCAAAACAATCAGCTAAAAAATCAATCTGGAAGGTCGTCAAATGATTTTTGGAAGTTAACTGCGCTAAAAAATACATATAAAATGCAGTTAACTTCCAAAAATCATTTGACGACCTTCCGGATTGTGTTTTTAGTTGGATTTTTTTGTGGATAAACTAGACTTGATGAAGAACATGCCATAAAAATTTCATCAAAAAATTCCACCGGGAAGGCGGCTAAAAGTTGTCGGACGCACATGAATACTCCTCTCTCTCTCTCTCTCTCTCTCTCTCTCTATATATATATATATATATATATATATATTGTTTTTAAGGACAGACTTTCTCAAGGGTTTCAAGTTCAAAAAAGTATCTTCAACATTAACGCAAAATAAAATAAAAACTCATTTATGGACTCCAACCAATTCAACTTCATAAATCAACCATGAGTTTGGTGGTATGTTCTCTCCACCTCCCTGGCTGCCATAGCCCATTGATGGAGGGATGATAAGTCTCCTTTTGCCACCAACACGCATACCTTCTAGACCAATGTTCCACCCGTCAATAATGCGTTTGTCACCTAGGCGGAATTTGTAAGGAGTTTCACCAATATTGGAGTCAAAAACCTGCTTGTTCTCTTTCAGGATGCCAGTATAGTAAATCTTCACCTTTTTCCCTGGAGTAGCAACTTTTCCATCAGCTTCTCCAATTGCAAGGTCTTCAGTAGTCAATCCATTTGACAAAGTCCTGATTCCGTAGGACTCCACACTCAGACCATTGTTGGCTCCTTCATCCACAACTTTGGTATTCTTATTCTTCTTTTTTTCATGTTTCTTCACATGTTGTCCATTAGCTACACCACAATTAGCTTCATCATTTTGAGCACTAGTTTGCAATTGATTTTCATCAGCAGTTTCAATCAAATCCTTGACGGTATTAGTGGCCTCGAGATTTTGCTTGACCTTTTCATGAGTATTGATAGGACTTGAATCTTTGCATTCATCCACTTTCTCTCCCTTGTTACCTTTTCTCCTCTTCTTTAATTTCTGGCTGTTCGCAGATCCCTCTTCAGCAAGGGGTTTAACCTCTACAGGAACTTCAATAGATTTTGCATTATCAGACTTGTTTTTCCGTTTCTTGCTAGGCTTTTCGCTCTTTGCGGTTTCAGCATCACTAATATCAACATTTTCCTCAGTACCCCCTACACCATTTTCTGCTTGAACTGTCACCTTGCCACTATCTTCTCCACTTTGTGATGATAATTTCTTTGGAGATGCTTCATTTTCAGGAGTGTTTTCATCATCATCAGAGTCAATTACTTGGTGTTTCTTCCTAAACCATCGGTTCCCTTTCTTGCTTCCTTCAGCTGCTACATTTTCATCACTAGAAATGGGTGAAGGGAGAACCTCTGGCTCTCCATCATCAATAAAGCTGTCCTCATATTCATCTTCATCACTACACTCATTGGACACATCTGTGTCGGTGTGGCCAACATCCTCTCCATATGACTCTGTATCACTGCCTCCTCCTCCTAAATGTGCACTGGAACTCTTACCCACATAGTAACCAGTTAGATGTATACTTCTTGATCCAACAACAGAAAAGACCACATTCTCTGCTTCCTCAAATTCCAAATCCAAATGGCAAGACTCTGTCCTTTCAGGCAACAATGCGCACAGAAAATGTGGAGGTTTATTTCCCACCTTGCACTGAACTAAGCTCTTTGTGTTTGCACTGCCAATACCCAATGTTGCTTGAGAAATCCGAAGCCTTCCTCTTGTCTGATCAAACACATGAGTGACCGATTTTGCAGGTTTAACTTCAATTCCCCAGAAAGACATTTGACTCTCCTCCTTATGAAGGCAGCACTCAACAGCACCCGCTAACTCTTTAAGCTATTCTATTCACTCAGGACACTATACGAACGGCCGGCGTGGTGTCACCTCTTCCTATATATATTTAACTGTTATGAGCAATTACAATCACTTTTTAGTTACATCTATGATGTATTCATGGTTACTGTAATTGTTTCACAGGTGAAATACAATTTCACATGCCATTGAAATTTGAAAACACAAATCTTGGAAAGCAGTACTTGGACCCTTGTTAATCTTGGAAAATCAGACTTGAAATCACATGTTTCTGATGTAGCTACATGTTTATGATCAATCAAGTATGCTGTTTTTGTAAATCATACTTTTGGATTTTACTATCATTTAAGTTGATCAATTCCTTAGTGTTTTCAAATATGCATAGGCAAATGTCATTTGGGTCTATGGAAAATTGAACATTTTGGATCATGAATTAATTCTTTTTGCATTGGCGGTAATATGTGCAACATATTGGGTACAACTAGCACGTAGTGCATACGCCTCTAGTAAATAAATAGCCATAAACACAATTTATACCATTAAATCCATACTAATATTAATCTAAAAATAGATAAAATTCAATAAATTAAACTAAATGACAAAAGGTTTGAAATCAAACCTCTATTAAGAAAATATGGCGGAGGAGGAGGCTTTTTTACAGCATTGTACTGGGAGGGGGCGGCGGAGTGCGGCGGCGGAGTGCGGCGGCGGAGTGCGGCGGCGGAGTGCGGCGGCGGAGTGCGGCGGAGTGCGGCGTCCTGCGGCGTTGCTGTTCCGTGCGCTGCTGAGAGGGAGGAGGAGGCGGCTGGAAGGTGGAAAAGGTGGCAAGATGTCGGAGGCGGCTTGTGGAACTCAACGCCGCTGGTGGAACGCAGGGTTTGGAACTCGGAGGAGGCGTGCGCAAGAGCTCTGCGATTTTTTGAAGTATCCCCTACTCCCCAAGGCCAGGAACGCGCAGGGTTTGAGCTATGCTATCTCTCTTTTCCAAATTAACCTACTTGTAGAAATGCACAAATCAAAATATAGCAATTGAATTATTTAAATCAAAATTAAAAATGATAAAGTAAAGTGATCCAATCAAATGAATGATAGGTACGGTACCCCATTTTTTAGAAAGGTACCAAAGTTGTCACCTTTTTTTTGTAACTTATTGCTTGCTGCGGTTCCAATATGTCGTTAGCAAATACATTTAAAATTAATTTTTAAATACATTTTGTTGCGGTTTGCACCTATACACAACAAATATTGAGTTATTTTCCAATTAATTGTTGCGGAACATATATAACCGCAGCAAATAAGGTGCCGCAAATGACAAAAAATCTAGTAATGCATATTTCCTTATACTACAAGTTTACCATGCATGTTTTGATGTTCATGATTAGGGAACATGTCTCAAATAGAATAAAAAACGTTTTGTAATTCTAAATAAGAGTATTATGTTTAGTAATTGTCCTATATGGGGCTAAAACTAAACAAAAATGCACAAATAAGACTACATGTTTTTAATTCCCTAATAGGACTTTGTAGGGACGGAGCTATGACAACAAAGAAGGATGGGCCGGATTGAAACTAAACTTCAAGTCAAAGTTTTTAAGTAATACATATAGTTATCATATTCATCAAAGTTTATCACAAAAGTTGTTACTCCAAAAACAATAATGCATTATGTTTACAAAATTAATTGGATTCGGCGATCCTTTACATTAGGAAACTCATCGATAAGAGAATCTACATCTATTGTGCTAACAAGTTCTCTCTCAATAAAAATTTGTCATTTCAATCACATTCCCACGATTATAAGACTTTTGACTTTTGAGACTCATCGTGACCTCTAACAGCACAACCTTGCAATACTAGCCACTGAACAGTCATGATTGATGTCTTTAACCGTAATCGATTTTTTAAAACTTCTTACCCTTGCAATGACTTTATCAATATGTTCAGATTGTCTTATCAAAGAATCAGCACATGTGACACACTTATTATGCGGAGATGAAGAAGATGTACCAATATGCAGAAGAAATACACATTCTTTGCCCTGGTGAACTCTCTTCCAATTATCATATCCGGTACTCACTAATGCAGAAGTGTGAGATGAATGCATATTATCACAAAAAAAGAAAGCATGGAGAGCAATATGCTTTATGTGTAGTCGAAGAGTACTCCTACCAATTAAACTAATTAAACCAACTGAATTGAAAATGACGAATTTTATCTTTATATTCTCGACCCTTATACTTCTGAAGGTTAGGTTGATAAGGGCCAGATAGGAAATATAATCGTCTCACTTCATCTCTTATGTCTAAAGGACAATCAGATATTTTTTTCCTTTTCCCCGGATCTCTCTCAATCTCAACTGGAGTAATCTCATTTGGAAATACTGGAGTAATCTGAACTGGAATTACTGGGCCTAAACTGTATTAGGAAGACTTCTTTTGCTCTTATTATTATAAGATGATGCAAGATAGATTAAAGTTTACATAAAGTTTTTTTTATTGTTGATAGGGCTTGTGATGTTGGCCATGATGAAACCTCACTTCAGGTCGAAAATTGTTACACAGCATTAAAACGGTTGTGTGCATGTTCTTTGTTGGTGATTTTGGTGTCATCGGGCATTTTGTGTAATTGGAAATGACATGAGTGTCAATGGAGATTGGAACCTTGTTCTAATACAAGCTAAGGTGTGGAGTGCACACTTGTATATTAGAACGAGTTCTATTCCAAAGTGTCTACAGCAGTAGAACTCGAGGTAGAACACTCAGTAGACCAACTCTATGGTTCTAGATCGAGGTCTGTTTAGGTTGGGCAGTTTCGTGCAGTTTTCCAAAAACTGCCACGGTTACTCTCAAACGTGCTGCAACTGCCTGGGACGTGTAATATGAATATATATCACCATATTTTGTACAGAGATGGAAGGAAGGAGAGATATACAACATATCTTGATCACTTTTGGCATTCAAATTTAGAGAGCAATCCATATACTTACTAGTTTGGCTCTAGTTCTTGTGCCTAAGTTCTAGAGTGTCCTTAAGGATTATCCTAGATTGAATTTCTTGTAACCCAGGCATAAGGGAGAAATATCAATTCGGAAAGTGAACTTACACGATCCTGAAGCAATCCAAGTACTCGATTATCATCCCATATACACACGATATGTAACACTTGAGATTTAATTTAAACGGATTAATAGTACTACTCATACCAACAAGGTGCATCTCCTTTTAAGGGAGCTCATTAGCCAAGAACTCCAAAGTTAAGCGTGCTTGCACTGGAGTAGTCTTGGGATGGGTGACCCCCTGAGAAGTTTCTCAGGGCGCGCACGAGTAAGGACAGAGTGTGCGGAAAAGGCTAGTGGCGGTTTGTGAGGATAGTACTAGAGGTCAGAAGTAACTACCTCGGGGCCTACGGGGCCGGGGTGTTACAAATGGTATCAAAGCAACCCTGCGACAGTGTGCTGATCCGTTGGGTATCGGGCAGACACTTAGCGGGGGGAAAGATTCTGGGATTTGATTGAGATTGGTTTACGGGCGCAACGAGGACGTTGCGTTCCTAAGTGGGGGTGATTGTAACACTTGAGATTTAATTTAAATGGATTAATAGTACTACTCATACCAACAAGGTGCATCTCCTTTTAAGGGAGCTCATTAGCCAAGAACTCCAAAGTTAAGCGTGCTTGCACGGGAGTAGTCTTGGGATGGGTGACCCCCTGAGAAGTTTCTCAGGGCGCGCACGAGTAAGGACAGAGTGCGCGGAAAAGGCTAGTGGCGGTTTGTGAGGATAGTACTAGAGGTCAGAAGTAACTACCTCGGGGCCTACGGGGCCGGGGTGTTACACGATACCCCAACAATCGAATTGATATTCCTTTGTGATAATCATGAGTACCGTGCAAGAGATGACAACCAAGTTCAGCAAACTGGACAAGTTTCAAGGGAATGATTTCCGTAGATGGCAAAAGAAGATGCACTTCCTTCTCACCACTTTGAAGGTCGTGTACGTGTTGAGCACTCTGATGCCGAAAGTGATGGAGGATGAAACCTTGGAACAAACTAGGAGGCGTAACAAGTGGGAGAACGATGACTACATATGTAGAGGCCACATTCTTATTGGTATGTCCGATGCGTTATTTGATATTAACCAAAACGTTGAGAGTGCGAAGGAATTGTGGAATTCTCTTGAGTCAAAATACATTGTCGAAGATGCTTCTAGTAAGAAGTTCTTGGTGAGTGATTTTAATAATTATAAAATGGTTGAATCAAGGTCGGTTATGGAACAATACAATGAAGTCCTTCGTGCTCTTGGTCAATTTAAACTCCACAAGATAGGTATTGATGAATCATATGCCGTGTCGAGTGTAATTGACAAACTTCCACCCTCTTGGAAGGATTTTAAACGTAATTTAAAACATCAAGATGAGGAATTGTCATTGGTTCAACTTGGGAGTCACTTGCACATTGAGGAGTCTCTTCGTGCGCAAGAGAATGACCAAGTTAAGGGTGAAGTTGAATCTGGACAGCCTCATGCTCACTTAGTTGAGGATAAAAAATCTAACCCGAACAATAAAGGGAAAGGCAAAAGGCGCAAATATGAAGACCATGACAAAACTAACAAGAAACCGAAAGGTTTGGTTTGTTGGAGATGTCAAAAGGTTGGGCATGTCAAGCGTGATTGCCGTGTGAAACTGAACAAGAATGGCGCTGGAACGAGTGGCAGTGGACAAGAACGGTCTATGGACCTGGTTCCACGAAAAGGAGGTCAGTTCTTGACTAACTTTGATAATTCTGTCCATAATTATGTATCACTCATTCCGGAATCTTTTTATGTACAGGATGATGATTGTGCATAGTGGATTGACTCGGGGGCTACAAGCCATGTGTGTAAGGATAAAGGATGGTTTGAAGAGCTAGAACTAGTAGAGATCGGTTCCTTCTTACGCATGGGAGACGAGTCAATGGTGTCAATCTTGGGAAAGGGTGTAGTTGTTTTAGAATTTACTTCTGGATAAACAATTACGTTGTTTGATGTTTTGTATGTACCGAAGGTTCGAAATAATCTTGTTTCGGGAAGTATGTTGAATAATTTAGGGTACAAACAAGTGATTGAATCTGATAAATATATTATGTCCAAGGGTGGTGTGTTTGTTGGTTTTGGATATTTATCAAATCGCATGTTTCATTTAAATGTTGTGAATAAATTAATTTCTAGTGATAATTCTATTTTTGTGGCATCTTCCATGAATGATTGTATGACTTGGCATGCTAGATTAGCTCACGTTAATTTTATAAAAATGCATGAAATGTCTAAAGATGGTTTAATTCCGGCTTTTGATATTAATAATGATAAGTAGGACTTGCATGCTTACTAAGATCACAAAACAATCGTTTCCTAATATTGAAAGGAATTTAGCTATTTTGGATCTTGTACATAGTGATCTATGTGATTTTCACTCAACTCCTTCCCTTGGCAATAAAAAGTATGTTGTTACTTTTATTGAGGATTCAACTCGGTTTTGTTATGTGTATTTATTACACACTAAGGATGAAGCTTTAGAGAAATTTAAAGTGTATAAAGTCGAGGTTGAATTGCGATTGGGTAATCCAATTAAATGTCTTAGGACTGATCGGGGAGGAGAATATATGGATCCCCATCATTTTTAATCTGTTGGAATCATTCATGAGACCACGGCTCCGTATACACCACAACAAAACGGTGTGGCCGAACGGAAAAATCGAGTTTTAAAGGAAATGGTTAATTCCATGTTTTCCTACTCGGGTTTGAGTTAAGGGTTTTGGGGAGAGGCCATGCTCACATCCTGCTATGTTCTAAATAGGGTTCCAAACAAACGGAACAAGACAACCCCATATGAGCTTTGGTACAAAAAAACGCCAAATTTGAAATATTTTCGGGTATGGGGTTGTAGGGCGGTTGTAAAATTGTCGGAGCCTAAAAGGAAAACTTTGGGAGAAAGAGGAATTGATTGCATATTCATAGGGTATGCTGAAAATTCCAAGGCTTATAGGTTTTATGTAATAGAACCTAACGATGCGGTAGCGGTTAACACCGTGATTGAGTCTCGGGATGTGATCTTCGATGAGATGAGGTTTTCATCAATTCAAAGACCTAAGGACTTAGTTCCAGGCACTATTAAGGTGCAAGTTCCATAATGTTTGGATGGTGTCTTGGATCCCGAAACATCACAAATTAGAAAAAGCAAAAGAGGCCGCATCGTGAAAGACTTTGGTCCCGATTTTCACTTGTATTTAGTGGAAGGTTCAAGGGACGAAGTGGGGGTACAATACTCTTATTGTTACCAAGTTGAGGATGATCCAAAGTCCTTTAAAGAGGCAATTGATTCCCGAGATGTTGCCTTTTGGAAGAAGGCAAATGATGATGAAATGTCATCAATTATGGAGAACAACACTTGGGTGTTGTCGAATTTGCCACCGGGTTCTAAACCTTTAGGTTTCAAATGGATATTCAAAAAGAAGATGAAGGTGGATGAAACTATTGACAAGTTCAAGGCTCGGTTAGTCATTCAAAGTTTTAGACAAAAACCCGGAATTGACTATTTCACGTATGTGCCGGTTGCTCGAATTACAACCATTAGGTTGTTAATTGCTTTGGTGGCTATACACAATCTGATTATACATCAGATGGACGTTAAGACGGCATGTCTTAATGGCGATCTTGATGAGGAAGTTTACATGAAACAACCGGAAGGTTTTATTATGCCGGGAAATGAGCATAAGGTATGTAAACTTGTCAAATCATTGTATGGGTTGAAACAAGCACCCAAACAATGGCATCAAAAATTTGATGAAGTTATTTTGTCCAATGGTTTTAGTTTAAACCAATCTGACAAGTGTGTCTATATCCGGTTTGATGCCTTAGGGGCGTGTGTGTTTATATGTCTCTATGTAGATGACATGCTGATTTTTGGAACGGACCAAAATCAGATTGATGAAACTAAAAGGTTGTTATCATCAAGATTTTCCATGAAGGACATGGGGGACGCGGACGTGATCCTTGGAATAAGGATTAAAACGGGTAAACAAAGGAATTGCTTTGACACAAGCTCACTATGTTGAGAATATTCTCAAAAGGTTTAATTATAGTGATTGTTCACCCGTGAGTACTCCCATGGAACCTAGTGTGAGGTTGATGCCTAATAAAGGAAAGGCGATATCACAACTTGAGTACTCTCAAGCCATTTGTAGTTTGATGTATGCCATGACAAGCACCAGACCGGATATTGCTTATGTCGTGGGTAGGTTGAGCCGGTATACTAGTAATCCTAGTACTCAACATTGGCAAGCAATGAAGAGAGTGTTCAAGTATTTAAAGGGAACAATGGATTATGGTTTGTATTACTTTGAGTATCCTTCGGTGTTAGAGGGATATTCGGATGCCAGTTGGATATCCAATGTAGAGGATCATTCTTCTACAAGTGCTTGGGTATTCTTGCTTGGGGGAGGTGCCATTTCGTGGGCTTCCAAGAAGCAAACTTGTATAACAAGTTCAACAATGGAATCTGAGTTTGTTACGTTGGCTACCGCCGGTAAAGAGGCGGAGTGGTTAAGAAATTTAATTTTTGAGATTCCATTGTGGGGGAAACCGATTGCACCTATTTCTATCCATTGTGATAGTGCTGCCACTTTGGCTAAGCCATATAGTCATGTTTATAATGGCAAGTCTAGACACTTGGGTGTTAGACATAGTATGATTAGGGAATTAATCATGAATGGTGTAATTTCGGTTGAGTTTGTAAGATCGCAACATAACTTGGCGGACCACTTGACTAAAGCTTGGCCCGGGACTTAGTGCACAAGTCGGTGATAGGGATGGGTTTAAAGTCTATTTAATCTGTAATGGTGAGACACCCAATCCCCCTCTAATACAACGTTAGAGGTTGAATTCAATGCGGAAAGCTCACACTTATGGATTGGAACACACAAATCAAGATCATCCCAAAGTGTGTGTTCGGACCTGTAGTAAGGAGGCTGAATTTATTTCTTAATAATTCCTTTGATAAAATGTAAGCAGGTACATGAATAAAGGAATTACCTATATGATCGTGAAGTGTAGCCGCGCTTCAAAAGGCTTGGGACTTTTATACGATCATGAATGGGATTAGGACACACGACTTTATAATTGTGTCAGGTTTGTATTCTAGTTGAGTATAGAAACTTGTATGTATTTTATCTTCAGGTATTCAAATGGGTTGAAGGGTTCAATCCGTAGGACACCCCGATTCTCGAATATTTGGAATGTGTCAAATACTAAGATGAAAATTCAAGCGTATCGCATTTTCATTTATGTACAAGTTCTGGTTTGAAAACTTTGTTATGCCATTTCATGGGTTACACTAAAATGGGGGAGGATTGTTGGTGATTTTAGTGTCACCGACCGTTTTGTGTAATTGGAAATGACATGAGTGTCAGTGGGGATTAGAACATTGTTCTAATACAAGCTAGTAGGTGTGGAGTGCACACTTGTATATAAGAACGAGTTCTATTCCAAAGTATCTACGACAGTAGAACTCGAGGTAGAACACTCAGTAGACCAACTCTGTGGTTCTAGATCGATGTCTAGAGCGGTTGGGCAGTTTCGTGCAATTTTCCAAAAACTGCCACGGTTACTCTCAAACGTGTTGCAACTGCCTGGGACGTGTAATATGGATATATATCACCATATTTCGTACAGAGATGGAAGGAAGGAGAGATATACAGCATATCTTGATCACTTTTGGCATTCAAATCAAGAGAGCAATCCATATACTCACTAGTTTGACTCTAGTTCTTGTGCCTAAGTTCTAGAGTGTCCTTAAGGATTATCGTAGATTGAATTTCTTGTAACCAAGGCATAGGGGAGAAATATCAATTCGGAAAGTGAACTTACACGATCCTTAAGCAATCCAAGTACTTGATTATCACTCCCTATACCCCAACATTCTTTGCACCTGGTAACCACAAATTATTATTGTTGTTTTTATTGGTATCATCGTCATCATCACAATTCCACAAGGTGATAATTTCATGATTATTGAAATAATTTCATTATTTCTAATTTCATTAGAAATATTAGAATTTCTTTTTCCAACTTTATATTCAATTTGTATTTTATCACCATGATTATTATATATGGTTTGTCATGACACAATTTCATGAGAAATATTAGAAATTCTTTTGCGAGGTTTATATGAACTTTGTAATTTTTTAATTTGCAGGAGAGTGTTGTACACGGTAACACTCTACGTTCTCACATGGAAGGGATAAAAAGGGCCTTGGAGAAGGAGGAAAGCTTGACCCTTTCTCCATTCTTAAAAGAACCATGACCGGAGCAGGGCCGGTTCCGAGAAAACGAGGGCCCTGTGCGGCTGTGCAACAACAAAAATCAGACCTTTCTTTTCCATTGTTAATAGAAATGCTATTTCAATTGAAATGGTAAATTGTTAAAAGTAGTAATTTATTAAAAAAATATTTCAAAATAGAAGTTGCTAGTATTAACTAACAATAATAAAATCCAAGAAAAATTTTATTTACATATAAATTTATACAGTGAAACACAAACAAATTTAACAACCTACGAACTTGTTAATATCACTTTGTTGAAATCGATTATAAAATTACTCCGTAATTCATAAAGAACAATTACTCTGTATTATTAGTACGGACTTACCTAAAATAATGGAGTCCTGCCGTCCTGGATGATTGGATGTCGATTGCCGATGGGAAGAAGTGAAGAAATCGGGGTGGCTGGAGGCTGGAGCGGAGCCTGGAGATGGAGAGTCGTCAGCTCGTCTCACTCAGTCACTCGATATTTCCCTTTGGCCTATGCGCTTCCTCTTTCGCAGATCGCAATGCCAGACTGCCAGTTCGCCTCTTCGCTTCACGCCTTGACTCCCGTCTCCCACTCTCCCGCACCTTCTTTGGCTATTGGGCTGACTAATACAGAGTAGATGACTAGTAGTAATACTACTACTAATTTATTTTTTTGGGCCTTCCATTTTTTGGGCACTGTGCGGTTGGACTGCCTATACACTCCCTGGGCCGGCCCTGGACTGGAGCAATCATCTACAAAAAATGAATTAGAGAAACATTGAATGTGAATGGAGCCATATCATCTACTTTCCTTGAAATGACCTTTGTTGTTCTACTATTTTGCAATTGATAATGATAAAGGATGTCTATTTATTTTACTTCCTTTTTAATTATCTACTTCCCTTTTATGGAGGTTCAAGACTTCAAGTGCTATACAAGCAAGAAGTTATAATTGAGATGTGCCAACAACATGAGGCATCTATTAACAACACACGATGCTAGGAAAACATTTCTACAACCCAAAGGCTGATGTAAGCTATGATAGAATATAAGAATACTACATTGCCATACTATGAAAGAATAATTAAATGAAGTTTATCAATGTTTGCTCTCCGTTCTCTTTTTAGCCTCTGATCTTTCCTACTTTTTGCACTTTCTCTATAGTACCCACTAGTTTCTACCCCATCAATTTTGGTACTAGATTGTGTGAAAAGCCTTCGGTGGAGAACTCAAATGAAAATAATAAGTATCGATTTAAAACATGAATGAATGAAACAATCAATCCTAGGCCCGTAAGAAACCATGAATTTTTTAAACTTTTATTTTAAATTAGAGAGATTTACCTTATTTTTTCCAAAATAGGAGCACCTAGTTTAAACTTCCTTAAATAGGAGTTTTTATTTGTGATTAGACCAAAATACCCCTCAAAGCATTTACCATGGCTGCCCCAGGACTGCCGGACGCCGCCTGCCGCCGTTGCCGCCACTGGAGTTCGCCGCTTCCGCCACCACCAGACTGCCCCCGTTACCAACGGACTGCCTTGGTTGTGCAAGAGAACGAGGGGGGCAATTAAATGCATGGGTTAATTAGTTGCCGGAGTTCGCCGCCGCCGGAATCCGCCGCAGTGCTGCCTCCACCATGGACTGCCCCGCCACTGACGGACAGCATTGGTTGCCCAAGGAAACTAGGGGGGCAATAATTAATTAGAATAGGGGTATTAGGGCTAAAAAAATTAATGTTTACTCCTATTTGGGGAAGATTAGGAGTTAACTCCTATTTAGGAAATGTATTATGTTTTACTCCTATCGAGAGCAAATACTTTTTAAATTACTCCGGCATTTTAAAAGAAATGTCTTCAAAAATAATATAAGGGCTTTAATAAAGAATTTATTCAAAATACTCAAGTTTAAAATAGGGATATCCAAGTAAATAAAATCGAAGGGATTCACAAGAAAACAATGGAGAAGTGGAGAACAAAGAGACGAAGAAGTCTTAGACGTAACGTCTATGTTACTCTAAAGACAAATCTTTACGACAGAGTTATCACTTATCAATGGCGAGTATAGTGCTCGTCATATTTTGCCACTTTTGCGTGACCGCAACGCCATATTCACCGTATGTAAGCCAGAGAATAACAAATGCAGGGAGCAGGGATGGAGATTAGAAGGTTAGGCGTCAGGTTTTAACTTAATAATCAGATTTTATCAATCATACAATAGTATTATTTGTAAGTACTAGGGTGGTTCGATAGGGTATACCAAAATTTCTACGCCATTACGCATATCTGCAAATGTCATACCGTTAGTGTACCGAAAATATTGGTATACCAAAATTTGATATACAGAAAGTTCGTACAGTATGCAACTGATAACCCGCTTTTCACGGCGTTGTAGTAAAACGGAGTTTAACCTTCCGGACGGAAAAGTAATCCCCGAGTATCGTGTCTCTGAGGAGTGGCGGAGGGAAGTGTTGGTTTCAATATCGGTCACCGGTTAATACGAGTCGTTGCAAGCTACCTCAAATGATTAATTGATATAATGATTAAAAAAGTAAACAACAAAAGTAGTAACAGAGAATTTAATTAAATGGCATTATTGAGTAAATTAAAACTAGTGAACATGCAAAATAAATTGAGAAAAAAAAAATAATTAAAATATTAAACTAGCAAACATGTAGAAGAGAAAGTTTCGAAAATAAAATGGTAAAAGACAAATTCAATGTGACTAGTAACAATAAAATTAACTAATTAAAAGTGGGGTTTAGATTGGAATTAAGGATCTTGGGTGTCTTTGATTATGAAAAAAATGGGAAATTTTCACTAATCTAAAAATACTAACATGTCCTTTTTATAGGCTTAGTTTAGGGTGTGTGAGATGTGATCTAAAATTAATTCTAAACTCATAGACAAGAAATAATTAATTTTCCAAGAATTCACAAGTGAAGTGATCAATTTCACAAACTACTCTTTCAATTTCATCTCAAACAACTAGTTCAAAAAATTAGAGAATTCCCAAATTCAACTCAATATTCAAGAACACCCATTGACCTAAATTCTATCCAAATCCAAACCCCATGGAGATTTAGCCTAACATAATTATCAAGAAACTAACACCATTAATGGAGGAGCTAAAGTAATACAAGGAAACATATAATTCAAATACAAATTCATTCAACATAATAATAGTTCAAAATCCAACTTAAGAGTGAAATTTAAAGCTTACTCATGAAATTAAAGAAGAATTTTAATACAAAATCTTAACAACTAAGATCGAAAGATGAATTAGTTGCGGATTTTGTCCTGCGTTTATTCCCTTCCGGCCAGCTGGTATCTTGATTCTGCTCTGCCAAGAACTGTTCTGCCCTTACCCTGCGGCCAAGAGCTGCAAGTGTGAATTGTATTTGTGGCCAGCTCCTCCTTGATTTATCTCTTTTTTTTCTTTGGCTGCAACTGATGGAGCTCCTGGCCTGTAGTCCTGTCCCTTCCGGCGGTCGCACCATGTGCAGCTGCTGGCTGCTAACTTTTCTTTGGCTTAACGACACTCCAAATTGAACTCTTCCTCACTTTATTTTGTTTTCTTTTTTCCTTTATTCTTTTTTTTTGCCCTTTTTTTGTTTTGTTTGTAACGCAGCCTTGCTGCAGTTTTATTTGGTTCTCTTTTTTTGGTTTTCTTCTACTTTACTTCAAATGTTTGTATTAAAAGATATCAAATTGAAATATAATACGGAGTAGCAAGCTGAAATTTGACAAATGACAAAAGATAGATAACACAAACAAGAAGAAGAAAAACAAAAAATCAATCCAAACACTTGAATTAAACACAAATTACTAAAAAACGTAAATTTCGACACTAATTTCAAACATTAACACAAATGCAACAAAAACGCAGAAAAATGCTTCAATTTGTCCCAAGTTTAACAAGAAACGCTATAAATAGTGAGTGAAAATATATGAACAAATCAGACTTATCAGCAACCCGTACCGTTTATACCGAAAATTCAAAACATAAGAACTTCAAGAACTGATTCCTTATAAAACATCGGGAGCTATGGAACATTCAAATATCTGATTTTAATATGCTAAAAGTAGTATATGGCATCTATTATATAAACTAATACTAAAACTAAAAGACAATATTTAATATCAAGTAGAAAATACAAAAAAATATCAAGTAGAAAATACTAAAATGAAGTCCTAATATATCAATACAAATGAAAGATTGCTTCAAAAAAACAAATGAAAGGTAATTAATAATGTTGGCAATTAGAACACTTTGAAGAGTTGTTTTAGCTCCAAAAGATATAGGCTAAACCTCACTCTTGCATATATAGTGGATAATTGAAAAAAGTTCCAATAGACAACCTAAACACCATAAAAAGATTCAAATTTCACCATTTGCATGTAAGAGTCTTGTCACCGCCATGTCACCAGATAAAGTGTCAACTATGCATCACACGTGACAACTTAAGGCTCTAAACTCGACCAAATGGTTCAATTCACACCATCAACTGTTAAAAAGAGTCAAATTTACGAAGAATGAAAAATAAAAAATAGAAAATAAAAATAAAAAAAATGACATACAATTTGTAAATATAAAAAAGTAAATATGCAATATTTATATTTTGTGGCAAATTCAAAATAAAATATAAACTTAAAAAAAATAGCGGTATTCCCATATTTTATATCAGGAAATGAACAATAGATTTTTACTAACTATATTTAAATTTGTATTTTATATACCATATCTAATATTTTGTAATATAAAACATGGTTTATGTGTTTGGCTTGATAATTTATATTCTGTTTATATTTTCCATTTTTATTTTTTCATTTCATATATTTTAATTTAATTTAAAAAATATAATGAAAATATATTACTTTGATATAATTATATGCTATCCTTCATTTCTTTTTAGTTGTACCATGAAAACTTTTACACTATTCATTTGATCTACTTTGACTATATTTATTTATTAATGTGTGAGAGTTATCTTTTGAAAAATAGTATTTAATTTATCTCAATATGAACTTTCATTATATGTTTTCTAGTTTTTTTTTTAATTTAAATCAGATATGATCAAAAAAAATTAAATCAGATTTTTCAGTTTCGTGTATGTGATTTGTAAACATGTCACTCTACTAGTAAAAAATATTAAAAATCAAATTATAAAAATTTGTGATGAGACAAATTCAAATAAAATTTCCCAAAAATAAGTATCATTAATAAATAAAATATCGTCAAAACAAAGCAGGTGAATAGTATAAAAATTTTCATGTTACAACTAAAAAGAAACGAACGATAGGATATAATCATACCAAACTCATAGTCCATCCGTCCCTTAAAACTTTATCATCTTTCCTTTTTAGAACGTCCCAAAAAACTTTGACACTTTCCCTTTTAATTAATTATTTTGTGGTTTCTGTTATTTCTCTCTCCTCTGCACAAACCTCAACCACACAGTTTTTACTTTATTATTTTCCGTGCCGGTCAACTTTGGCAAAGTTTTAAGGGACGGGGGTAGTATATCTTTAGCATATTAGTTTAAATAAATTAAAAAATATGAAATGAAAAAATAAAATGGAAAATATAAACATAATATAAATTATCAAACCAAAAACATAAATGTTATATTACAGAATATTAAATATAATACATAAAATACAAATTTAAATGTAGTAAGTAAAAATATATTGTTTATTTTCTTATATAAAAAATAGATATAAAATTTGAGAATGATGTTAAAAAAATCTTCAAGTTTATACTTTATTTTTTATTTTTATTTAGTACAAAATATATATGTTGTACATTTATATTTTATATTTTTGAATTGTATTTCATCTTATATTTGTAAATTATAATTTCTATTTTTTAATTTCTTATTATTCTTATTTTTGACACTAAAACAATTGAGACGGTGAATTTTAACAATTTGGTCAAAACCAAGATCTTATTTGACTTTGGTTGTCACGTTAAGTGCACGGTTGACACCTTACCCGATGACATGACAGTGATCCAACTAGTACAAGGTAGGGTTGGACTCGGGCCGGGTGGCCCGACCCGGTGGGTTTCCGGTCCGGGCTCGGGTCACCCATAACAAGGCCCGGCCCGGCCCGGCCCGGGCCCGATTCGGGCCAAATTTATTTTTTTTTTGGTTTTTTTCATTTGTTTGGGCTCCACCGGGTTGGGCTTGATGTTTAGGAGGGGTTTGGGGGGTGGGGGTGAGGTGGGGGGGTCAGGGATGGGTAGCTAAGCAAAAAAAAAAAAATTAACCAAACCCGAGGCCCGGCCCGGACCCGGACCGGACCCGGTGGCTACCCGGGCCGGTCCCGGGTCCAGCTATATAGGACCGCCGGCCCGACCGGGCCTAGGCCCGGCCCGGGCCCGACCCGGCCCGAGTCCAACCCTAGTACAAGGCTGATTTGATTCTTTAACCAAACAAGATATATTAGACTTTTCTGTGTAGAGAAGCCTTTTCTATACGTGACTATTTATATGTAAGTCACTCATCACTCTTTAAAAGCTATTTTAAAATCGAAGACTTTTATTAGAAGCTACTTGAGTGGCTTCTTCAAAAAGTATATTTCTTTCAAGATCCTTTCTATTACTAAAATCTAACCATTACTAAAATGTCCAAAAGTGTTTTCGCAGCTAATTCTGCCAAATATAGACTAAGAGGTCATTTGGTAACACTGTTTTTCAGCTTATCAAACTTATCTATCAATTTTTTCACCAAACACGTAATTTTTATTTTCGCGCGCTGAATTGTGTAATAAGAAAAAGTAAGGTTGAAGTTATTTTTCTGACTGTATCGACGGAAGTTATTGTAAATGACCATTTTAGCTATTTTACATTTAATTCTTTCTTTATTTTATTGTTAAAATATTTTTTTTTATATCAGCAGAATCGGTCAATGCAGCAACCACTTTAGCCAGAACTTCATCATTTTCAGCAGAATCATCCAAATCAGCTGATTTTTGTGTTAACAAACGGGCTCTAATTCTACAATCAATTAATGAAAAAGACATGCGTGCTCATTCAAAATCATGTCCTTGATCAACTCCATAAAAGTAAAAGAAAACTACCTCCCACAATTGTTTGTCAACTTTATCTGACACGTAGATTGAGAAAATTTAGAACATATGGCTTGAGAATTGAGATCTAATTCAAAAGATGGAAAAACAATGAGCCACAAATTTGTTTCCTCAATAGAAAATGACAGCTTTAATGGTACACCAAACTATTGTGGTAGGGAGAGTATTGTTTAGGCAGGGACATAAGACTCGAGCATCAGTTGTGTCCGGGAAGGTGAACTGATCTCTACAACCAAATAAGTAAACTTCCACTGCTTCTCCACTTTGTCTTGGAACATCTCTGCAAACACTTTGCCAGCCCCGTGGGGTCCCCGGATATAGAAATTCACCTTGTTTAATGATTTTAATAAGATTATATAATCGGCAAGAGATTTCATATTCAATGTTTGATTTTTAATAATAATAATAATACCTCAACATGTTCAATCCCATCTTCATCAGTCCATATCCTGTTTGGTATGCGTTGACGGGCCGCACGGTTTCTACTTTCTGATCCATAACCCGTAATAGGGGATCCGATTCTCACCCTAACCTGTTAGAAATAACTAATTTCCTTAATTCTGAGTCAATGATCTAGACATATTTAAGGCAATCAAAAATCACACTTTAGGTGCATCAACCCCTTTTTTTATATAGTGGGTGAACACCCTCAATCAACTACTGAAGCCTGCCACAACACCGACGTTGCAGAGCCTCACCACCAGCAATCAGAGCCGAGCCAGCATGAACACCAGTAAGCCCATGCCAGATTCCTAGCAGCCCAGCAGGTAAATCCGTCCAAGGAGTTCGGACGTCTGAGGTAGGTGCAAGGTAGTCAAAAGCGCGCGGCTGAGCGCTTAAGCGCACCAGGCGAGGCGCATACGAGTGTCAGCGCCTGTTAGAGTCCCAGGCGCAGTCACCTGAGTGAGGCGCAAGTTAGGCGCAATAAGCGCAGAAGCGCTGAAGCGGTGAAAAGCGCACGCTTATGTCGCCTGGCCTGGGAAAGGCTTATCAGCCTATTTATTTGTTTGATCCTGCTTTAAATAATAAGCCCATACATATAATAAGATTTAGCCCATTCAAGTAATAGGTTAAAAAAACTTAAACGCATGTTAAACCCTTCAACGTGTCCCTCGAATGGTCCTAACAGTAATACTCCTAATGAAAGCCGATTAAAACCAAATCAGAAAAAAATACAACATCCAAGCCTTATTTCCAAAAGGGTTTGAGAACAGTTAACATGAATGATATATATGATGACGGAGTTTAAAACAATAGAAAAAAAATAGACATACAACCCGATGAAAACAGTTTAATTACGGAATTATTTCCTAAGCCAGTTTTAAACCAAGCCAAACTGAAAATAACAAAACAAACTCAGCCGGAAATGCCCACTCTTATGTACTACACCATGAAACATGACCATCTGTGCACCTATGTTCTAACTTCTAACTAATCTTTATGCAATGAACCAAATTAAAGCACTTATTATATTAAAATCCTGAATAAAAAAGTACCATATAAAAAAATACCTGGCTGTCATTTTGAATCCTGTCGAGTGCCTTCCCATATATTTTGTACCTAGAAAACATCAAAAGCAC